TAATTTATATACTATTGTGTCTACTACATTTGTTTCTCTCTAACACACACACTCAGAATGCTAGCCCGAGCAGCTGACTAACTCCCAGGTACCTATTTACTGCTAGGTGAACAGGGGAATCAAGGTGAAAGAAACTCTGCCCATTTGTTTCCGCCTCGGCCGGGAGTCGAACCCTGGCCCTTAGGACTATGACCCCCCGAGCGCTGGGTACTCAGCCGCGAGGCCAAATGTGCGTGTGCGTGTGTACTCACCTAGTTGTACTCACCTACTGCAGGATCGAGCATTGACTCTTGGATCCCGCCTTTCGAGCATCGGTTGTTTACAGCAATGACTCCTGTCCCATTTCCCTATCATACCTGGTTTTAAAATTATGAATAGTATTTGCTTCCACAACCTGTTCCTGAAGTGCATTCCATTTCCCCACTACTCTCACGCTAAAAGAAAACTTCCTAACATCTCTGTGACTCATCTGAGTTTCAAGTTTCCATCCATGTCCCCTCGTTCTGTTACTATTCCGTGTGAACATTTCGTCTATGTCCACTCTGTCAATCCCTCTGAGTATCTTATACGTTCCTATCATGTCCCCCCTCTCCCTTCTTCTTTCTAGTGTCGTAAGGCACAGTTCCCTCAGGCGCTCCTCATACCCCATCCCTCGTAGCTCTGGGACGAGTTTCGTTGCAAACCTCTGAACCTGTGTGTGTGTGCGTGCGTGTGCGTGTGTGCGTGTGCGTGCGCGTGCGTGTGCGTGTGTGGGTGTATTAAACAAGGATAAATCCTCTACCCTCGCCTAATTTAGTGACCAAAATTAGTGTTCCCCGCTTGGCAGGGTCTTTATTTATTACGGGGGAGGAACGTCCTGGTCTACGACGTCGCTGGCGTACGACGTCGTTGGTCTACGACGTCGCTGGTCTACGACGTCGCTGGTCTACGACGTCGCTGGTCTTAGGTCTTATGTTATTACACATTTGCATGTTACCTGGTGATTGGTCGGAGGTCCTGACTGCCTCCCTGTGTTTGGTGTACACACACACACACACACACACACACACACACACACATACATCAACTGGTGTACAGATTCCTGAGCCTATTGGGCTCTATCATATCTACACTTGAAACTGTGTATGGAGTCAGCCTCCACCACATTACTGCCTAATGCATTCCACCTGTTAACTACTCTGACACTGAAAAAGTTCTTTCTAACGTCTCTGTGGCTCATCTGAGTACTACGTTTTCACCTGTGTCCCCTTGTTCGTGTCCCACCCGTGCTGAATAGTTTATCTTTGTCCAATCTGTCAATTCCCCTGAGAATTTTATAGGTGGTTATCATGTCTCCCCTTACTCTTCTGTTTTCCAGGGACGTGAGGTTTAGCTCCCGTAGCCTTTCCTCGTAGCTCATACCTCTCAGTTCTGGAACTCGTCTGGTGGCATATCACTGAATATTCTCTAACTTCGTCTTGTGTTTGACTAAGCATTGACTCCAGGCTGGAGCTGCATACTCCAGGATTGGTCTGACATACGTGGTATACAGGGTCCTGAACGATTCCTTACACAAGTTTCTAAAGGCAGTTCTTATGTTAGCCAAGTGTGTGACCCTATGTCCGTTTCTGTGTGTACACAGCTACCCATGAGTCTGTGTACACAGCTACCCATGAGTGTGTGTACACAGCTACCCATGAGTGTGTGTACACAGCTACCCATGAGTCTGTGTACACAGCTACCCATGAGTCTGTGTACACAGCTACCCATGAGTCTGTGTACACAGCTACCCATGAGTCTGTGTACACAGCTACCCATGAGTCTGTGTACACAGCTACCCATGAGTCTGTGTACACAACGTTCTCTCCTCATCTCTTATTGATGACTATACCTTCACCTTCGTTGTAGTGATCACTTCCACTTTGTCCCAATTTCCACTACGGTTCCTCTGCTTCCCACACTCTCTCAGCTCTGTGTCACACTCTCTCTGCTCTGTGTCACACTCTCTCTGCTCTGTGTAACACTCTCAGCTCTATGTAACACTCTCTCTGCTCTGTGTAACACTCTCTCAGCTCTATGTAACACTCTCTCTGCTCTGTGTAACACACTCTGCTCTGTGTCACTCTCTCTCACCTCTTCTCTGTACTAATATGACGGGTCAAGTTATATTATAATGGAGTATATTTTTCTATTGACTTGTGGTGTGGAGGAGGAGGAGTGGTGTTGGCACCCGTTGGCACCAGACGAGTGAGGCACAGTTTTGATGGGATGCCAGACTGGCACCCTGGCACCCCTCCATGGCACTCTGCCCTGACACTTCTCCCTCCCTTACCCACCCCCTCCCTTACCCACCCCCTCCCTTCCTCCCCACTCTCATAATGGCCCTGCCTACCCCCCCCTCCCCCCACCCTGACCGTCTTTATAATGAGGTTAGTGCCAGGGGCTAGGAGAGTTGAGCTGGAGGGTAGGTTAAGAGACCTGGACCTCACAGCTCTGGAGGAGACATGATCACAACATCAAATATATCGAGAGAAAGAGCCAAAGTACACCAGGACAGTCTTTAAACTTAGGGACATTAGTCAGGAGGACACAGGTGGAAGCTGGAAGCGCAGAGAAGTCGAAGAAATGGTATGAAATCCTCGTCAAGATGATGGTAATGCACTAAGTTCATGTGGAACCCGCCTCTGTCTACAACATTCAGGCAACATTCAATAACGAAGTGGAACGGCAAGACAGTACCATTTGATTTATTATTTGTCATACAAACGCGCGCGGGTATGTGGGCCTGCGGGCCGCTCCAAGCAACAGCCTGGTGGACCAAACTCTCACAAGTCAAGCCTGGCCTCTGGCCGGGCTTGGTGAGTAGAACAACTCCCAGAACCCCATCAACCAGGTATCAACCATATGGTAGATAGAACAGGATTAAAAGACTATACAACCACTTGGGCTGGACGGTAGAGCGACGGTCTCGCTTAATGCAGGTCGGTGTTCAATCCCCGAATATCCACGTAGTTTGGCACCATTCCTTCCCCACCGTCCCATCCCAAATCCTTATCCTGACCCCTTCCCAGTGCTATATAGTCGTAATGGCTTGGCGCTTTCCTCTCATAATTCCATCCCTCCCTCCTATTCATATGCACCAATGTCTGCCCTGCGATTGAAACAATCCAGCGGATCCTGCCTTAAGACACTGTTACAACTGAGGTATAATATCTCGGACATTAGGAGAGTACTACAGCAACCTGATCTTCACACATGCATTAAAATACAACAGAAATACAATGTACAAAAGGCTAACTGGTTGTCTAGTCGACAAGACAATGTACACTCGGGCCTTACTCGACCCCCACCCAACCCTGCTGGCCAAACATGAAGTATAGAGGAATCATCATAAAACCACTATAACATTACCTCTACCTGCCTTGTGTAGCTTCCAGGGATCAAACGGCCCCGCGGCCCGGTCTCCGACAAGGCCTCCCAGTTGGGCGTCTGGTCAACCAGAATGTTGGAGGCTGTTGCTCGAAGCCTGACGTCTGAATCACAGCCAGGTTGATCAGGTATTGCTTGGTGGTGCTTATAAGCAACCCGTCCTCGACTTGAGTCCATTACATCCAGCGGTCGACCCCACAGACGCATTCATAAATTTTAACATGCTGTTCATTCAAAACGGGAATTTTCTCAAGTATATATTAATATTATAATATATTAGCATATTGTGCATATATAGGCATAGGTTAGGTTAGGTGTTTAGGTTCTGTTGGCGATTATTTCCATTTGTAGTACGTGGGTGAAGCATTTACAGCGTTGTGGTTCGAACAAAATTCGTCAGTGAAGCACTTGTTCCGGATATGTTCGAACGTCAGCAGTTGTGAGTCGTGTGTAAACCGCTTTTCATTCATAAACACCTGGGGGGGGGAGGGCGGGTGCATGGAATGACTTTTGGGTGTTTGGAGGACGGGCTGTGATAACGTAACTTTGCGGTTACCTTGCGATGATTTCGGTTTGTTCGGACACCAGCGTCCGAACACTTCCGGAACAAGTGCTTCACTGACGACTGTTGTTCGAACCACAACGCTGTAAATGCTTCACCCACGTACTACAAATACAAATAATCGCCAACAGAACCTAAACACCTAACCGAACCTATGACTATATATGCACAATATGCTAATATAATAATTTATATTTGAGAAAATTCCCGTTTTGAATGAACAGCATATAAACATTTATGAATGCGTCTGTGGGGTCGACCGCTGGATGGAATGGACTCGAGTCGAGGACGGGTTGGGGGAAACCGCTAAAGTTGACCAAAACCCCCATGACGAGCAGTAGTGCAAGGATAAAGAGTAAAGAACTACATGCAACACCCAGATACCAGACACTTAAGATAACCAATGCAACCCAAAATGTATAACCAACTGTAACCAAGTTACCTACCCACACGAACAAATTCACAAGGGTCGTGACGAGAATTCGAACCTGCGTCCGGGAGCATCCCAGACACTGCCGTAATCGACTGAGCTACGACAGGGTAAGAGCTCATTTACCCTGTCGTAGCTCAGTCGATGAAGGCAGTGTCTGGGATGCTCCCGGACGCAGGTTCGAATCCTCGTCACGGCCCTTGTGGCTTTGTTCATATGATGCATCACGTTAGTGTGATCTCTGTGTGTAGTTACCTACCCACCTTGTGGCAACCTTGTGTAGCTTCCCGGGATCAATGGCCCCCAATGACCCCAGTAGTTGGGCTAGTTTACCTGAGTGAACTACGCGTTAACAATGAAGGGTTGGTTGGAAGAGGCAAATACTTCAGTTTGCCCCAAAATGTCAACAAAGAACAGCTGTTTTACTACGCCACATGTCAACAAAGAACAGCTGTTTCATTCGGCCACGTGCCTGGCCATCTATCCGGGGCTGTGGCTTACTCCTGGTCACCAAGACTGTCCCCTAGCCACCAGCCGGTCCACGTGACGTCACGTCTGTCCAGCCCTATACGTCAGTGACGTCGTTGAGCGTGACGTCACGGGGAGACAAACGAGCCGCATGGTAGAATTGGTCGTTTACGGGATCCAGCTTTACCGTCCCTCTCTAGGTCAGCTCTATCACCGTCCCTCTCTAGGTCAGCTCTGTCACTGTCCCTCTCTAGGTCAGCTCTGTCACCGTCCCTCTCTAGGTCAGCTGTGTCACCGTCCCTCTCTAGGTCAGCTGTGTCACCGTCCCTCTCTAGGTCAGCTCTATCACCGTCCCTCTCTAGGTCAGCTGTGTCACCGTCCCTCTCTAGGTCAGCTGTGTCACCGTCCCTCTCTAGGTCAGCTCTATCACCGTCCCTCTCTAGGTCAGCTGTGTCACCGTCCCTCTCTAGGTCAGCTGTGTCACCGTCCCTCTCTAGGTCAGCTGTGTCACCGTCCCTCTCTAGGTCAGCTGTGTCACCGTCCCTCTCTAGGTCAGCTCTATCACCGTCCCTCTCTAGGTTAGCTCTGTCACTGTCCCTCTCTAGGTCAGCTCTGTCACCGTCCCTCTCTAGGGCAGCTCTATCACCGTCCCTCTCTAGGTCAGCTGTGTCACCGTCCCTCTCTAGGTCAGCTGTGTCACCGTCCCTCTCTAGGTCAGCTCTATCACCGTTCCTCTCTAGGTCAGCTCTGTCACCGTCCCTCTCTAGGTCAGCTCTGTCACCGTCCCTCTCTAGGTCAGCTGTGTCACCGTCCCTCTCTAGGTCAGCTCTATCACCGTCCCTCTCTAGGTCAGCTCTATCACCGTCCCTCTCTAGGTCAGCTCTGTCACCGTCCCTCTCTAGGTCAGCTCTGTCACCGTCCCTCTCTAGGTCAGCTCTGTCACCGTCCCTCTCTAGGTCAGCTCTGTCACCGTCCCTCTCTAGGTCAGCTCTGTCACCGTCCCTCTCTAGGTCAGCTCTGTCACCGTCCCTCTCTAGGTCAGCTCTATCACCGTCCCTCTCTAGGTCAGCTCTGTCACCGTCCCTCTCTAGGTCAGCTCTGTCACCGTCCCTCTCTAGGTCAGCTCTATCACCGTCCCTCTCTAGGTCAGCTCTGTCACCGTCCCTCTCTAGGTCAGCTGTGTCACCGTCCCTCTCTAGGTCAGCTCTATCACCGTCCCTCTCTAGGTCAGCTCTATCACCGTCCCTCTCTAGGTCAGCTCTATCACCGTCCCTCTCTAGGTCAGCTCTGTCACCGTCCCTCTCTAGGTCAGCTCTGTCACCGTCCCTCTCTAGGTCAGCTCTATCACCGTCCCTCTCTAGGTCAGCTCTGTCACCGTCCCTCTCTAGGTCAGCTCTGTCACCGTCCCTCTCTAGGTCAGCTCTGTCACCGTCCCTCTCAAGGTCAGCTCTGTCACCGTCCCTCTCTAGGTCAGCTCTGTCACCGTCCCTCTCTAGGTCAGCTTTCATGTGCTGACCAGTCCAGCAACGAGGAGGCCTGGTCAAGGACCGGGTCGCGGGGACGTTGAGCCCCGAAATCATCGCAAGGTAACCCCAAGGTAACCCCAAGGTAACCCCCAAGGTAACCCCAAGGTAAACATTCCATTGTCTAGTCACCTCTACTAAACACTATAGACATCTTCATTCGCTGAAAGAATTTCTTTCATCACAGAGAAAGATGTGTGACGAATTTGAAAATAATTTTCGTGTGAAAACCAGTAGTGCTCATGAAGGGGATTCGATCCCTGCTCCACCCCATGGTAAAAATGATACATCCTGGGTTTCCACTGAACCCTCTAGGGACCCTGAGGCTTCCAAATGAATAGTAAATGTCAAGGCTGGTTAGTGTCAAGATTGGCACGTGTCAGTATCAAGGCTGGTTCGTCAGCCTACAAGCAAGAGTTAACCAGAAAACTTTAGCTCAGCGTGAAAAAAAAAAATTCCCTGCTGGACCAGCACAGGAAGCTGTCAAACTGTCAAGCTGTCAAACTGTCAAGCTGTCAAACTGTCAAACTTTCAAGCTGTCAAGTTGTCAAACTCAGCACCGTGAACCATTTTATATCAAAATGTTCTATCAGTCGCTGACCAGTTGTGTGGCGCCCCAATACGCTGAAGGTCGTTCACTCAGAACTGAACACGTCGTATGAACTCCTGTTAAATCCTGTTAAATTAGGACTGCTCCTGTTAAATCCTGGACTCCTGTTAAATCTTTTCCCCCTAAACATCATTTGTAGACGGGGCCTAGATACTGGCGTCATCCCTGACATACTTAAAACAGGAGAGATCGCGCCACTACACAAAGGAGGTACTAGAGCAGATACAAAAGCATTATAGACCAACATCTCTTAACGTCACACATCATAAAGTTCTTGGAAAGAGTGGTAAGAAGTAAGATTACAAGTCACATGACATCTCCACCACCGTGGCCAACACGGGTTCAGGTGAGGGCGCTCCTGCCTCTCACAGTTGCTGGACCACTCTGACATGGCCCCACGTGTTACGGGAGACAAACAACACGCAGATGTAATATACTTTGAAAAAGCTTTCGACAAATAGAATTCCTGACAAAGTAGGGAAATGGATGAACAAATCCACAAGGGCCGTGACGAGGATTCGAACCTGCGTCCGGGAGCATCCCGGACACTGCCTTAATCGACTGAGCTACGACAGGGTAAAAGGGTTGAAACCGAAGTTCTACTGAACTTACTGGGTCCCGTAGCCTCTCCGAGGCACAAACGGTTTCAACCCTTTTACCCTGTCGTAGCTCAGTCGATTAAGGCAGTGTCTGGGATGCTCCCGGAACAGAACGCGGAGTGTAATAGTCAACACAGTCAAATCCGGGTCATCTACTGTGAGTCCATCTCCACAGTTATGCTCCTCACGGTGTTCAAGAGAGAACTGGATAAGCACCTCCAAAAGATACCTGATCAACCAGGCTGTGACTCATACATCAGGCTGCGAGCAGCCGCGTCCAACAGCCTGGTTGACCAGTCCAGCAATGAGGAGGTCTGGTCGATGACCGGGCTACGAGGCTATTGATCACCGGAAGCTACACAAGGTACTTCAATGAACATATGAAACAATGCAACTTCAGCGGATGCTGAAACTGAATGAACAAATCCCAACCCGTCCTCGGCTCAAGTCCATTCCATCCAGCGGTCAACCCCACAGACGCATTCATAAATTTTAACATGCTGTTCATTCAGAACAAGAATTTTCTCAAATATAAATTAATATTATAATATATTAGCATATTGTGCATATATTGGCATAGGTTAGGTTAGGTGTTTAGGTTCTGTTGGCGATTATTTGCATTTGTAGTACGTGGGTGAAGCATTTACAGCGTTGTGGTTCGAACAAAACTCGTCAGTGAAGCACTTGTTCCGGAAGTGTTCGAACGAAATCAGTTGTGAGTCGTGTGTAAACCGTTTTTCATTCATAAACAGGGGGTTTGGCGGGTGCATGGAATCACTTTTGGATCTTTGTTTGGAGGACGGGCTGACAAATCCACAAGGGCCGTGACGAGGATTCGAACCTGCGTCCGAATCTGAAACTGAATGTAATTTTGAACTGTAAATGTTAACGCAAAGTGTATCCCGCCAAACACACACCGAAACTACGACGTTGGTACAACGTTCGAACAAGTTTTAACACCTCCTAACCAGTTATAACAACCAATATAGCAAGTTGTAACAACGTTCTAATACGTCATAAACACGTTAAGCCAAGATGTAACAACTTTATTACAAGTTGTAACAAGCGGAAAATAGGGTCAGTTACGGTTTGTGTTTCCAGGGTATCAATGCCTCAGTCATTCCAGTTGCCTGTGTTTCTCTGCTCTGAGACGGTTCCAGAAGTTTCTTGCACTCGCTGAGACAGAGCTGACAGGGATTAGAGTCTCTCAAGCTCTGCAATCTCGCTGCCTTTCGAAGAGGACGTGAAGATTGAGTAATATCCCACGCGGGTGTTTGCTATCCTCTTGAGGTTATCTTCAGATGATTCCGGGGCTTAGTGTCCCCGCGGCCCGGTCCTCGAACAGGCCTTCTTTTTGTTACACCCCCATCCCCTAGGAAGCAGCCCGTAGCAGCTGTCTAACTCCCAGGTACCTATTTACTGCTAAGTGAACATACTCGTGTCCAGCTGGAAAAGTAGCTTAGCCTGTAGCCCACACTGATACAGCTCCTCACGCAGCTGACGCAACACCTGACGCAACTCCTGACGCAACTCGTGACGCAACTTCTGACGCAGCTCCTGACCCCCATTTTATCACCCTTCAACCCCTTCTCTGGAAACAATGGGTAAGCATAATAAATCACCGTAGATGTGTTTAGACTTTAATTGACAAGACCCACCTCCGAGGCTTGGTCATGCTGACTGCTTGCACCAACAATCGGCCCTTTAATTGAACAATTGCAAGTTCCACTGAACATTTAGTACCGAGTGCAATTCGTTCGGATCATCAGGGAATTCGTTAGAGCGGGGTTCAATGTACTGGAGCGAAAAATACGGAAGGAAATGCAGAATAGAACCAGTGAAGAGTAGAGGTGCCATAGACACAATCAGAGAACACTGAACATCAGAGGTCCAGTGAAGAGTAGAGGTGCCATAGACAGTCAGAGAACACTGAACATCAGAGGTCCAGTGAAGAGTAGAGGTGCCATAGACAGTCAGAGAACACAGAACATCAGAGGTCCAGTGAAGAGTAGAGGTGCCATAGGCACAATCAGAGAACACTGAACATCAGAGGTCCACAGCTGTTCAACACCCTCCCAGCAAGCATTAGGAATATTGCCAGAACAAAGGTGCATGTGTTCAAGAGGCACTTAGACAAGTTCTTGCAAGAAGTGCCGGATCTAATGTGTAATCACGGACCTGATGTAATTCAGGATCTGAAATCTGAAATGTAATTCCCCCCCCCCCTCTCTCTCTCTCTCTCTCTCTCTCTCTGTCTCTCTCTCTCTCTGTCTCTCTCTCTCTCTCTCTGTCTCTCTCTCTCTCTGTCTCTCTCTCTCTCTCTCTCTCTGTCTCTCTCTCTCTCTCTCTCTCTGTCTCTCTCTCTCTCTCTCTCTCTCTCTCTGTCTGTCTGTCTCTCTCTCTCTGTCTGTCTCTCTCTCTCTCTCTCTCTCTCTCTCTCTCTCTCTCTCTCTCTCTCTCTCTCTCTCTCTCTCTCTCTCTCTCTCTCTCTCTCTCTCTCTCTCTCTCTCTCTCTCTCTCTCTCTCTCTCTCTCTCTCTCTCTCTCTCTCTCTCTCTCTCTCTCTCTCTCTCTCTCTCTCTCTCTCTCTCTCTCTCTCTCTCTCTCTCTCTCTGTCTCTCTCTCTCTCTCTGTCTGTCTCTCTCTCTCTCTCTCTCTCTCTCTCTCTCTCTCTCTCTCTCTCTCTCTCTCTCTCTCTCTCTCTCTCTCTCTCTCTCTCTCTCTCTCTCTCTCTCTCTCTTTCACTCTCACTCTCACTCTCACTCACTCTCACTCTCACTCACTCTCACTCTCTCTCACTCTCACTCTCACTCTCACTCTCACTCTCTCTCACTCTCACTCTCTCTCACTCTCACTCTCACTCTCTCTCACTCTCACTCTCACTGACCAATTGGGTCATTATAAACTTGGTGTTAACTTTAACCATTGGCTCAGGGCTCCAGCCACTCCCTCCACCACCTGCTAATTAACATGCAATTTGCCTGTAAGTTGACAGCCTTGTTACCGTTGACGGCTGATGCTGAGATCACGGTTGACGGCTGATGCTGAGGTCACGGTTGACGGCTGATGCTGAGGTCACGGTTGACGGCTGATGCTGAGGTCACGGTTGACGGCTGATGCTGAGGTCACGGTTGACGGCTGATGCTGAGGTCACGGTTGACGGCTGATGCTGAGGTCACGGTTGACGGCTGATGCTGAGGTCACGGTTGACGGCTGATGCTGAGGTCACGGTTGACGGAGTTGTCCGTTGTTCCTGTAGAGAGAGTAGAGCGACGGTCTCCTACAATGCAGGTCGGCGTTCAATCCCCGACCGTCCACAAGTGCTTGGGAAACCATTCCTTTCCCCCCCGTCCCATCCCAAATCCTTATCCTGACCCCTTCCCAGTGCAATATAGTCGTAATGGCTTGGCGCTTTCTGCTCATAGTTCCCTTACAGGTTGACTTGAAACTTACAGAGCTCACCTGTGATTATATATGTGGATTACTGTTACAAAATTATCTCCGCTAGATATTTCAGTCTTTTCAGCTAGAATTGAAATTTAGTTCCTCGAGGAATCTTGTATGTCGTGACCATGTCATCCCTACCTTGCCTGCGTGTGACTCATTCCTCTTGTTCAGGTCTTCACCTACCTTTACTCCTTCCTCTGTTCCTCCTTCTCCCTACTGCACATGGAGTAGGGAGAAGGAGATTACCAGGAAAAAGAGACAGATGAAAGGTGGAGAAAGGAAAATGGCAGCAGAGAGAGAGAGGAGAGAGAGAGGAGAGAGAGAGGAGAGAGGAGAG